GTCTTCCTTTCCTAAAACTTGGTGGAACTCTTCCTTGTCAACACTCTTTCGCAAATATCAAGCTGCAAGGAATAAAATAAGTAAATACATTTATGCAGACGATTTCATCGAACACATGAAAGTACTGTGTGAAAGCAAAGTGGAGATACGCACTTCGAAAGGCCAGAAGGACATATAAAGCAGTCTTGAATGGCAAGAGCAATCCATGTTTGTTCTGGAATTATATCAGCGGCCAGCGACGTTTTAGTCAAATTTTAATTGGTCGCGCTGTATGGAACGAGCATGATCATAAAAGGTATGCTCAAGAGCTATACTCTAGTGCCAATCAGATAACAATACCTCCCATTCCTTTCACTAGTCTCAATAATACACCCTCCTCCTTACGTGAATTAATGTAGGTTTTACAATCCGGGAAGAGAGTTGCCGCCGCAGGTTGTGATGAAGTTAAGTATGTTATGGTCAGGTCATGGTCTGGCGGAAGCTTGACTCTCTTGTTGCATACAATTAATAAATGCATATCCTTGCTTTTGCGATGTACCAAAGTTGTTTCAATTCCTAAAGCGGATGAAGACTTGAACGATTTAAGCAACTTTAGACTCAGTTCGTTAGAATGTGTATCCATAAAGATTATTAATCAATCTCGTGGTCAAGGAGAAGGTAATAGTTTTTTTGAAAATTGGAAACATTATTCCAGCTTGTTCTTATGCGTATCAAAAACGCAAATCTACGAATATGTGCGTTAATGAACTTTCTGATAGCTAGTGATGAAGCTTGGTAGAATTCTTTTAAACTTAAGGCGAAGTATGCGGTGGTATTCAAAAAGGCACTTGTTTGACTCTGTCCCATGCTCTTCAATCTATGTACAGACAATTTGCATGATCTTCAAGACGACATAACTCATATTGTTCAATGTGATGATTATTGCTTAATTGTGTCTACTGATTCAACCTTTTTACTGGCCGCGAATAATCTTTTTTTGATGTATGTGCCTACCTTAATTTATATCTTAAGTTTAGTCAAACGAATGTTATTTATTTTGCCAAAGATTTTGAACGCGAAATTATGTTCTTTATCAAAAAAATTAAAGTTAATCAGGTGAAATGTCTTCGAACTCTTGGTAGAATTTTAAATGATAGCCTAACTCTTTGTGGGCATTATGAGAAAGCCTTCAAAGACTCTCAATCTGAATGTGATATCGTCAAACTCGTGGCTAACAATCAGTCTACCACACTTACGATAAAGTATATTTAATATTAACGAGTCTGCTGAACATCTTATTTTCAGATGTCACAGGCTTGGTGGTATTAGAAGTTCTTTTGGTCTTTTCAAGTTACATGGTGATCGCCTCTATCTCTTTGCAGCACAAAATGTGCGTCGTCTGGGGGAACTGGCTTGCTTTATTAGAAATCGAATTTATGTTTCTAATTCATGATATTTCCCTAAACTATTCTTTTTTTTCTTCCGCCAAAGTTTGCAACACTATTCTTACATCACTTTGAACAACTCAATAATCTGCAATTACATCTAACATATCGGCCTTAGCATATCATGGCCGCAGTGTTTTTGTTTTTATAAATAATTCTTGCAAATATTTGTTATTGTTTATTATGTGGATATATAAGCCACAAGTCTTAGTGGCTTAGTTCATCCTAGCTCAACATCCAAAAGAAAAAATAAAAAAAATAATATATCGAATGTTTTCATCAAATGATTCGCCATATACTCTCACCCATCGAATTTCGAAAAATTGTGAAAGCACTTCTCACACTGTTCTCAGACTGTTTCATACCTTTTCATATCATTTTAATGTTAAAATCCATTAAATTTTGACATTTTCTGTTTTCCTTTTCCTCTTTTTTCTTTTCGACAAAAAAAAGGAGCGATAAAAATATAAATATTTATTTTCTGCAACATGGCTTGCCAAAACCTCAAAAGGTTCGAAAGATTACCTGATTAAATTTTTTTAAAAATTGCTCCACTTTGTTACCGTTTCGATTTTTTATTTATTTTTGCAAATACAACAGATTTGTACGTTCATCCACCCAAAAAGTAGCCACGTTGTTAGGCTTAAGATGTAAGAAAATATCTATGCGTGAGGGAAAAAATGTGAACTAAATAACCTATTTTTTTTTTTCCTGTTGCATTAATTAGCATCAGACTTAGAACCATTATCGAGAGAACAAACGCCAATAACACCGTTACCTCAACCAAATTCAAGATTTCAAAATTTAAGAGAAGAAGATAATGCAAGAAAAGTACATAAAATTGATACTACGCCTCCGGTGGTTGAAAAGTTTCCTAGGCCTGAGGAGGGTAAAACCGCATCTCCAAGAAGTAGATATCATTCAGAGATTAAATCAACATCACCTCCTGTATCAGTTGCCCCATCTAGAAAAATTAGAGCAGCAGGTGTGTTCAAGAATATTTAAAAACATTTATCGCTAAACTCTTATTTTATTGAATGAATAGGGCAATATAGTCAAGAAGTCGAGTATAGCAACTCACCGATAGTTATAGATTGCGGTTCGGGTTATATTAAAGCGGGATTTGCCAATGAAGATAAGCCGACAACGGTTTTTCCAACCATTGTGGGTAGGCCGCGTAAAGGTATAGTAGTCGGAGCCGCCGGACGAAGTTCTTATGTAGGTGAAGGCGCACAAAGTATGCGCGGTGTGCTTAGCTTTAAATATCCGATTGATCGTGGCGTTGTCACCGATTGGGAGGATATGGAGAAAATTTGGCAGCATTGTTTTGCTAATGAACTCTGCGTGGATCCACAATTACATCCTGTACTACTAACGGAAATACCCAATAACCCCACAGCAAATCGTGAACGTATGACTCAAATTATGTTTGAATTATTTAATGTGCCTGCTATGTACGTCACAGTTCAATCAATTCTATCACTACTCTCGACGGGCAACTTAACCGGCTTGGCCGTAGATTCCGGGGAAGGTATCACAAATATCGTGCCCATCTATGAAGGCTATCCCCTGACCTATGCAATAAACAAATTAAATTTGGCTGGCATGGACTTAAATGAATATCTGATGAGACTGATAAATCAGCGGGGATACTCATTAAGTACAACCACAGAAAAGGAATTGGTGCGCGATATGAAAGAGACGATGTGTTACGTGTCACAAGATTTTGGAAAGGAACTAAGCACGGCTGAAACAAGATTGTCTTTAGAGAGTCAATTCAAGTTGCCCGATGGAAATTTTATTCACATAGCCAATGAACGTTTTATATGTCCCGAAGCTCTGTTCGATCCTACCGTTTTAGGTCATAAGACAGGCGGCATTCATATTAACATTAACAAGTCGATATTGAAATGTGATCGTGACTTGCAGAAAAATTTGTACAAAAAGATTGTTTTAGCTGGAGGGAATACATTATTTCCCGGCATAGAGGCACGTTTGAAAACCGAGTTGTCACGACTTGTGCCCGATTATACGGTGCAAATATTAGCTGAACCGGACAGACAATATAGTGTTTGGAAGGGCGGTGCTGCCCTAGCTTCATTATCAACATTCGAAAACATGTATATAACTGATCAAGAGTACTATGAAGTGGGTCCGAATATAGTAAATATTAAATGTTTCTGATTAAATCGAAACAATGGAAGTATATCTTTCGCCACTTTCTAAAATGATTGCATGCTAATGATCGTAAGTTAAGATTTTTATAATCCCAAAATCGAATTATGCGCCCTTGCAAACGATCTTAAAAGGTGGAAACGATTTTATATTTGAGAGATTAAATGGAAAGTAAAAAATCGCTTGAGGTTTAAACGCAGCAATAACTTGGTGGATGACAATTTCCATTTTTGCTCAAATATAAAACAATTATTAAATAATATATAAGGCCTAGCTATACGGCACCATAATGCGATAATTCAACGATGGATCTTGTGTGATGCAGTAATAAAAGTAGAATTAAGAACAATTTTAGTAATTTTATATGCAAAATTTTAGTGTAAATAAATTTTCGAAAAGGGAATAAGAAAAAAAAAAGGATTTCAAGCAACTTAAAGTAAGTTATATTCCATCTTATGGCGGATATCGGATACCGGATACTGGATATTCACTGTGGAATGCCTACACTACCTCTTATTATTATAAAAAACAAATAAGGAAGTTCAAAATTTTCAACAGTGACCGAATCTTTTATTATTCCCGTCTTTATCGTAACAAAAAAAAAAAAAAAAACTGAATACTTCCATGTTCTGTGGGCGTATCTCGTTTTTTTTCATATTCGTAAGATATACGTGGAAATTCTTATCTTGTGTTCATTGCGCTTTTGAGTAAAGAGTAAGAAATCGAGAAAGTAGAGGTATTCTCAGTTCACGTTGCATTGTAGGCTTGTTTTGTCACCGAATCGGCCGACGTTCAGTATCAATTTGCGTACAAGAACTTGCAATGTTTTTGGCAAATTAATTTTCACGAGTAGGAGGATGTTTATCGCGGTTATTGAGCGGATGGATAACCGGATATACTTACACGCAAGAATATACATACTTTGTTGGATCTCTGAAGTTTGTTTCTCGATGATGCAAACATTTATAACCCTCGCCTTTGGGGGTGGGTTACATTGATCATGAAAGATGTAAAATTTTTTGGTTTTTT